TAATTACACTCATGATGAAAAATCATGTCAGGCAGCAAGGAATGTATTAGAGGTGATACAAATAAATGTATATATCTTCCAAATTTGTCCCTGGTATGAGTCCACTGGGGAATTCAAGGTCTGAAAAAAACACAAGGACTGAGCCATGTGCTGTTCCTCCAAGCTCTTGTCTATGCATAGTTAATCTGCAAGATGAGCAATTTTATTCTCTAGGACTGGTATTCCTGCATCTTTCAGAGGCATTATGTCACTAAAAGAAAATAAACAGGTGAGACTGAAAGTGCAACTCTGCATAACAGGTGGGTCAGAGCCAAGTAGGAACCCAAAGAGACTTCTCTCCTCAACTACAGCCTGCACAGGAGCTTTTTACTCTCTGCTTAGCGTGCTAGCAGGGTCAGTTTTCTATTTATTCTTGCCTAGAAACCTGCAAACGTCAAAGCTTATGTTGCTGTATTTCTAGATACACACAACAGTTCTTCCAGCAGGTTAGAACAACTACAAGGTAAAATAAATTCTCATCTCAGCTGGCTGAGAAGATGAAGTATAGGTCCATATATGTCGTAGTTTAAGCCCAGCCAGTAACCCAGGACAATATAACACATCACGTCTCCATATTTCTACTTTCTTTTCTATACACTGCTTTTCATGTTTTATATTTAAGCATAGCATATCACTGAAATCAATGGCACAAGTCACAGACTCCTGCAGATCCATATTCTCACTCTAGATTAGAACTAGTGTTCAGTTCATTTGTCTTTGTAGCACAAAAGCCTTGAAGCCAAAGCAAGAGTAAATCAGACGCATTATGACTTGTTTTTCACAAAGAGCACTACCTTTTGGAGTCCTGTCTGTCAGAGACACAACGCAGATTCAAAGCCATCTTTGCCAGTGTCCTAAAAACAAATGATGTGACAAGTGCCATGTACAGGTGTAAATTCTCTTCTACAAAACAAAAGTGTACAAAATAGGGTGGAACAGTTGACGATCTGCTCTACCAGGTAAAATCCAGAGGTGATGAGAACTCTATTTTTGTCCTGCTAAAGAAAATCAATAAAAGGAATAATTATCCTTTTGTTCTGTCAGCTTGCCTTGAAATGGAGAAAAAATAAATACCTGAGCATGTCAGAAGCTGGTGTCAGCACCAGACTGTGTTTCAGATGTAATTGTCGTTTAAAACTGAATTTAATTCTTCATGACAACTTTTCTGTTTTAAATCCTTTTGATAAAACAGTGGAGGAAGACTCTCCTTCTGCTCCCGAACCACATGTAATGAATTCCCAGATGACTGGCTGTCCTTAAAGTGTGGGTTTAGATTGTGTTTGTTTCAGTTGGGTGACTGAGTGCCCGCAGTGCCTTAACATAGCCTACCTTGGCATGGGTGCCCCAGGCAGCTGTAGCCAGGGGAGGAATAGGTGTTCAAGGTCACTGGCTAGGTGAAAGGCAAGTCAGACCTAAGGGTGGCTTTGGGGGACTCTCTCAGCAACAGTGTGCCTACTTACTCTCACTGTTTTATAAAGTTTCTTTTATAGTTATTCCCAACAGGAAAGAGACACAATGATACGAAACTGAGACAACATTACAGCTGGGTAATGTACTGAGGAAAGCACTGAGGGATGGCATAAAGAGAAATATTTTGAGTGAAAAATCACCCCAGTTTCAGTGTTGTGCCTTTCATGTGTACAGCAAGACAAGGTCTTTAACATCTACACTTTTGATTTTGGACCATTAAGCTGATTTCCATTAGAAGACTAATCAAATTAACATTTGTTTTCTTTCTTTCTATTTGGCTGCAGCTTTTCTTGTTTTGTTTTGGTTTGTTTGTTTGCTTGATGTTTTAGAAGGGTTGTGGCTGGGGAAGTGAGAACTTGGCTTGATTTAAAATGTAAATGCTATTCTATCAATCTTCCCCTCCACTAACAGGCTGCCTGGGCATTTTAAGGGCATATAGTGAAAAGGAAACTGTGACTGCTAAAGAAAAGCCACCCCCTGCTGTGTCTGTTCATATTTATTTCACAATCAGCCTATTGAAATGGTGTGATTCACACTCTGATGCTGTCGTTGTCTAGCTGGCAAAGTCACTGGAGAATTTAAAGAAGTTTCCCAAGCTGAAAACCAAGCAAACGGCATTTGGGGCAAAAAGCAATCTTATCAGCAGTGTGAGCTAGTGAGTCACTGCAGTGCTCTCTCTTGCTGAGAGCTGAGGCTGCCCTTGCAAATGAGCAGCTCTCTTGAAACAAGAAGCTTTCTTCAAAAAACTGTGAGAAGCCTGTTGCTTTTGAAATGTAAAGTGTCCTTCTGATATACATATACATAGAATATACAAGAGTAAAGTCAGGCTAAAGTTTGCAGAGGCAATTTAAATGTTCTTTGTTAAAACATTGTTCCTCAAATAAATAGCCCCAAAAGGGTAAAATCATGTGTGAGTGCACAAGATGGAAAGAGGCTGAGCAGTTCCCCAGTAATCTTGGGTAAATACTAAAGGAAAACCCTGTCTGTTTACCTTAAATTATCCAGAGTTAATATATTCATCGTCTACCTTATACCCAAGCAGTCTGTGTGAAATAATGACTTCCTGGTAACACAAAGACACATGGCTGAGGCATTATCTTTACTATACTAATCACAATCTCCCTTTGTGGCAAGTATTACCATATACCCTTTCACTGACACAATTTAAAACAAAAGTTTAGGAGCCAGTATCAACACAGAAGATCAGAATAACCTAAAGAAATAAATATAGATCACTGGAGACTGGATTAATTGAAATAATTAAATCCAATAGTGTTATGTGCTTGGCTCTGACTTTTTGTATAGAATTTCTACTGTATTGTGAAAGCTCATTACATGGCAATAATAGAGGGCACAAAAAAAAGTGCTAAGTTTCTTACTACATATTTTGCCATTAATCATGGGATAAATATTAGCCACTAGTCAGAATTGACATGAAAAAGATGAATGTAATCTTAGGATGTATCAAAAGAGTTACAACCAGCAGAGACAAAGACATATTGACACCAGTGTAAAAACAGGGATCTGCTCATCTGGAATATTACATACACTTTTGGTCACCCATGGTTGAGGAGGATGGATTCAGACTGCATGGGCTGCAGAAAGAACAGTGAGAATATTCAGTGAAGTGGGGGATGGCACAATGTGGGCATTTTTCCCTTCTGCCTCCCATTTCTTGTTGCCTCAGTTACTTTTCCAACAGTTATGTCCTTGTCCTGCTCTTTTGGCAAAGCTGGCTGTCAGTTTTGTGGCTCAGGGCACTGCAGCCCCGTCACAGCCTCCCTCATTCACAGCCCATTTTCCTATAGGTGTTACTGGGGAGTTCTGTAGTAGGGGTGGTAAGGTCCATGTAGACAATCTCTCTATGCATATACATCCCCGTCTCTCAAAGAAGTAAAAATCCAGTCACACAAGGACTGAGGCCAAGCAAGGTGGAAACTCCGCTTCTGTGGTGCCACTTGGAATGAGGCTGCCTTGACTGCTGACCAGTAGCCGTCGCTTTGACCGATATGAGAACTGGAGCCGCAGAGGCATAAGGCAATGGTCCATGGCTTTCTAGGAGAGAGCCCACAGCTGCCTGAAATACAGGCTGGAGGCCTTGGAGTCCAGCCCAGAGAAGGATGTGGTAATGCACTGGCCAGAGAAATACAGCTGCCCCACTGAACCCTAATCTGAATACAGCATTAAAGCTGCTATGCAAGTAGTACTATGCAGCTACATGGTGCTCTCAGGAAGGCTGGGTTTGCTCCTGGGGAAAGCACATGTACAGACAGCACAGCAGCTGCCCCACTATGAACTGCACTCAGAACATCAACTCATTTTATTCACTAATTGTACACCAAAAAAAAAGGTTGGCATCAACTTTGTTCACATCAAAAAGACACAGTTTCCATTATTCCTATTGCATAATTTAGGTACATGAGCTTCTGTAATAAAACAATGTGCCGGGTGGAGAATGATAGCATTGTCCACACCATTTTCTCTCTGACACCAAAGGGAAATGGAACTAATAGAGTCAAAGAAACCAAATAACATTCAGGAAAGTACCAAAGTGATCAAAGCAGACTCTTTGATTCTGCTTTACACATACTTTTCAAAGAAGGGTTACATTTCCAAGCACAGTGTATCAGTTCTTGATGCCAATAAACCGTCTCTGTTTAGCTTTATAGTTTGATGGGAGTAGTAACAAAAAAAATTCTTTAGTGAGATGAATTTTCTAAGCCTTGCTATCAAGTGTTGAACTTGCTAGGGAAAGGCTAAAGGTATTTGCTGCTCTCTGAGGATGCCGAGTCCCTAGTGAGAGAGAGCCAGTGTCAGGCCTTAGTAGCCCTGTAGAGGAATCAACATTTGCAAACACAAGGAATAGCTCTGAGCTGATCTTTTTGTTCATCTGTATTTAATACACCTCTTTGTTAACAGACCAAGCCTCAGGGGAAAAAATGACTTACAAAGCATGTGAAACATGTTTAAAGAGCAGTTTGGAAAAGGTGCCTGGTCATAGTCCTTTTATAGCTAGAAACTATGTATTATTTCCATGCGTTTATCTCCTATTCTTTTCCTAAAGAGATAGGCAAGTTTTCAAGGTTCTAGTTCTAAATGCATTGGAGTAAAATATTATTTTTTGATTTTAATTTGGTCGTTAATAATGTCAAGCATGAAGCTTTTCTTATACCCTGGCAGGATGTGCTCCATTTCTGTCTTTGTGAAATCTTATTTCTTCTCTGTGCTGCAGCAACTGTAAAGCACAAGCTGCCCCCAGGGAGGTATTTTGTTTAGCTGTGTAGACACATTCCTGAAGGAAAAATTGAAGCCAAACCACGCACTCACATACGCACACACAGGCACTGTATTAGAAGAATTCAAACCTTGAACAGAAAACAAACAAGTTCTGGGTCTGGAGCCCGAGCTCCAGTGCGTGTTGAATTGTGTTTTTCACATTTTTCTCCTGTTTTTACCAGCTGGGCATGTGGACCAATATAGACGCTTTCCAAACGCACAAAGTGCTGTCCAAGGGCAGCCCTATATTCCCTGGCCATGTCAGAGCCAAACAAAACATGGAAAACAAATTGCATATCCAGCACTTGCTTTTCTCATGTGTTGAGACAGACACAGGCAGTGGCCATTGCTGTCATGAGACAGAATTTGCTGCAACGTGAACATGTGACTGGAGGAAGGTCATGTAAGACAGGAGGTAAGACGTAGATGTATGTTTACTCTTTTATGCATTCTTTTTGCTCACTGAAAGCAGAGCTATGAGGAAAGTCAAGCTCTATTTTCTTCTGAGATGGAACCAGATTCTGTCACCCCCTGTGTCAGCTCATGTCAGGAACGGGACAACTGATACAGTAACATGATTAAAACTATCAGAGTCTAACCCTTGCTTAGGACTTGGCCTCTGCCCTGAAATGGAGCTGCTATTACACCATAGCTGCTCGTACATTGACTGGCATTCTAGTGCTTTCTTTCTCTTTTTTTAGCTTTGTTTATTTAACACATTTATTTATTTAATTATATTTTTATTTATTGAACATTTTTTTATCAAGCTTTCTATGTTTTATTTCTTTTGTGGGTTGTGATCAGAGGAGGAAAACACAACAGGGAATTGTGTCTGGATACAGACAACTTCGATGAGCAAATGTGAGCCCAAACCATGAGAGATGCTTCTGGAGCCAAACCCAATGATGAGCATCTCAGCTCTGCTGTCCAAACAAATCCCTGAGGATCACAGCCCCTCATGCCAGTAAGCACATGGACAGTCTTGGTGCTCCTACATTGCCAACTGCACCAAGGTGAAGCAGAGCAGAGGAAGAGCCAGAAGGTGGATGGTCCTTCCTGGAGTGGATAAAGAAGCTGAAAGGTACCAGTGTTTGATGTTGGAGTGATACAGAAAAACGGCTGCCTCAGAGACAAAAACACTACAGGCTTTACAATGGATTTTGCAGCTTGTCTTACTCAAAGGCACTGCTGTGTAGGGACAAAGTTTTCATAAGTGTTCTGGTCAGAGTTAAACATACCATCATTTCTTAGCAAATTGTTCTAGTAATTAGAAAGCAGATACATAAAAACTTGGATGAGACTTGTGTAAATGAGGACATTTCTTTCCCCTTCAGATTGTTCTTCTGCTTAAACTAACATGAAACAACAAGTGTGACATTTCTTGGAAGAAATACAAGCTAATTTCGGATTAGACTTCTGATGCCGAGAATGCCTTTTCATATAGAACTGGTGTATTGCTTGAATTACCAGTGCAGTCCATGAAGGAGTTTCAGCTGTGTCAGAGATCAGCATCTGATGCTGATTTCTGTTTTAAAGAAAACACTGGTTAAAAGGAGAAGATGGTGCTCTTGAGTGGGAGACCCAAGGTCCATATCCAGCAAGACTCTTAACAGCATGTGAATTTGTGCGTGCTGTTGAATTCAGTAATAGGACTCTTCTACTTAAAACTTTGTGCACATATGTGCCTACAGCATACTTGGTAAGAAAAAACACCCAGAAAAACGTGCGAACAAATGCTTCTGTGCAACTGCCTAGTCAAGCAAGATGTGCTTTGGTTGACTCTCTGCTGGAGTTTTCACTGCATAATTCGGGATCATCTTTAATAAACCATGTGGCCATTGGTCCTTCTGAAGCATAGATGCCTAGGGAATGTAATGACTCTTTCCTTTTTTTGTTTATGCATGCTTTATTTTCTTTATTTCTTTCATCTTTTGGCTCACAGCCTCCAGCAGGGGAACAAAGTCTACTGTTAATGTATCTTACTGGAGGATGTTTGAAACACGATATAAGAAGACACTACATGTCATTATCTACTATGCTGCTGAGAGCTGGAGACTAATTTCCAGATGACATATGTTGTCAACACTGCTATATGGATAACAGCTTAGGGGCAAAGTCATAGATAAGACTCCCACTGGGCTGGAAACTGTGATGCAAAGATTATCTCTGGGTTGCAGAACTTAGCTATAGCTTCTGCACACTTCTCTGCTCAGCCTACTGCTGTTCTTCTCCCAGACTGCTTCCTTACACCCATTAATAACAATGTATTTTCCTTGACTGGCAATTGCATGCCTTGCTTAGTATTTGTTTAATGAAATCAATAAATGAAAAATGTCTGTGTTTAGTGGTGGATTCCTTGCTGTTGTGCCTACTGGTGTCAATGAATCATTCCCACTTGAGATAGCAGATTTAGAAGGTAATCAAATTTTTCCTTTCCAAGACACTATGTTCCTGCACACTCTACCATAGTGTTAACCATTCATGCAAGCAGAACACATACATACATCTACAAATTCTGTATCTGGTTTGGGTGCTGTTGCTGATGTGTTTGGGATATAGGGGATGCTCAGGTTAGCCAGATTTTCGTCCAACAGTTCTCCTTAGAAGAACAAATGCTGCTTTTGGAGTTTATTTTGTCTGGCAACAGTTAGGATGAATAGAACACTGCCTGTGTCAGTCTTTCTGAATAGTTTCTCCTGTTTGGGTCTAAATCTGAGAAGCAATTCTTGCTTCTTATTACCACCCTGGTGCCAGGTCCAGAGAAGAGAGAGCTTTCACAGCGTCAAATGCAGAGCTTGGCTGTCCTGCTCCAGCTCATATATTAGGCTTTAGAAGGCCTCAGGTGCCTGCTGCGGGCTAGCTGTCACATTAATGTCTATAATTCTCCACTGAAGGCTTGTTTGGCATTAGACAGGTCCAGCACCAGTCACTGGATTGTGTGTACCACATGCTTGAGAGAAGTTATCTTCCCTGTGGTGGCTTCCATCTTGATGACTCTGAGGACTGAAAATGAAATACTGTGAGCTGATGTCTTGCCAAGAGTTAAGCTGGAAAGCCTGAGGACACAGGGACAGAATGAGCCGTGGGCGAGCAGCCATGCTGGTAAATGACCATCAACATCTGCACTCACATGAATAAAGCAAGTAAGCACAGGCTGTATGTTCAATGGTGCCTCAAGAAAATATATTGCCTTTTTGACAATAGAGTAAATTATTGCCTAAAATACAGGAAGAAAACACACATTCAGATATGTGTTTCAAGCATGCACAATGCAACTGTTTTGGAATTTATCTATTCAGTAATTGAACAGACCACAGCTCTTTAGGTTTAGAAGCAAAATAAAAAGAGGTTGTTTCATCATATTTTACTCTGAGTTTTATGATTTCAGCCATTTTTCTTTCCTATCTAATATTAAATTTCAAAAGCAGCTTTTAAAGTACCTTTAATAATTGAGTTACTTCCAATGCTTCAGTAACTACACAGGGGTATCTTGGTGAATGGAGTCCACATGCTAGGATGGATATTGCTGGAGACTCAGTTTTCACTTGGTCAGTACAGTGAAAGAGGTATGTTCTGACTCCTCTGACATATTACCTTCCAAGCAGTCCCTATAGTATCCTTCTTAAGAAAACCAGGTGTTTTCTGATCTATTAATTTTCAGTGATTGACTGAAGCCAAATTGCTTTGAAATTGGTTAAGAAGTGTGTTTATCCACAAAACGGAGATTCTGAATGCTTTCATGCTGATTTTGAGTGGTGAGACTTTTTAGCATAACCACTAGTATGGTTCTTGTTAGTGTTTATGTAAGACAAGTATCTAAGGATTGGAGTGAAGTAGGCACTGTGTAGTTAGTGATGTGAAGAGATCAGAAGCAATGGGAAAAGAAGAGGAACAGAAAATGTTGTGTGGATAGTCAGTAAGAGTATGTCTTTGTTCCCAAATTGCTGCCATGCTTAAGGGTCACAGTCGATCAACACAAACTGGGGTATTTTGGCCCCAGTACTCTTGCTCCTGTCTCATTCTCAGGAGGTGACTAAGATGGAAACTGGCAGGACCCTGCAAAATCCTCATTTGTGAGCACACTTGAAAATACTTTTGCCTGGAACAACCTCCATCAGCCTATGTAAGAAAAGGTCATTGTTGGGCTTGTAACAGTAACAGTTTATATAAGCAACTAACTTCACCATCAACATAATTTTACCTTAACATTTTCCCTTCTGTGTTTTTTATCCCCCTCTGAGGCTGTAGGTGGCTTTATTGAAGACTCCCGTAATTTCAGCAGTAAGCCTCAGCAGGCTCCTTTCAATCAACAGCAGCAGCGTCACAGCAAGCAACACCAGTAACACATTTCCCTCCAAGCAAGCACACTCTGACTTCATTCAGGAACACAAATGTGCTCCAAATCCCAAATCACCATCTCCCAGCCCAGCAAGACAGAGGCTGCAAACTGAGTTGAAACAAAACAGATAAACAAGTTGAAACACTTGCTTCCTGCAGAAAAATAACCCAAATATTTGTGCTTTGCCTACCTGCGGGAACCTCTGTTCTTTCCAATGATCTTGCTGCAGTGCTTCTCCTGTCTGGGCTGTGGGTCCAAGCCCTTCGGGTAGGAAACATGACCCTCTTTTGACCTGCAGGTGAATATTTCTCATAGCATGAAGAAACTCCAACTTTTTGAAACGTTGGTACCAAATGAAACAGTTATGGAAAGCTGCCCTCAGTGATGTTAATGAGTTTTTTGCTTCAGAGCAATGGAAGCAGGAACCATCTTTTCTTCAGCTTCTTTCCTTTAATTTCCAGTTCACCATTCGCATCTCTACTTTATCCTCATTTTCCAGGTTGAAGGCACAATGGGTATTTTGTTGTAGAAAATAGATACATAAACAGAAGAATAGATGCTGCAGCTAGCAGAGACTATTGAGCATTGACTACTCATAAACGTTTGTTGGGAAGCAAAAGAGGTAGACCACCTTTATACGCACCCTAAAAAAGGATCCTGTTGGAAGCTAGTGACATTTCTGGTGTTTCAGTGTGATTTATCTATGAATGTCATAATTTTCACAAATGCAGTCTAAAGGTATTTTAAAATATTATCCTTAAAGGGAGGTACAATAAAATAATCCATATGAATATCACACATCACATTGTGTCACCAGCTGTAGAAAATACTTTTAAATATAGGGGTGAATTACTTCCCCATCTTTATTCTTGTTTCTGGAAGAGTATAGAAAGATGAAGGCCAGGAAAGATATGAAATAAATAACCTTAAAGGGTGGGAAGCACAATTCTGAAGGTTACAGCAGATCTAAAAAATGTTAAAATCCAGACCAAGTTGTCATCAGTTTCATTTCTATATCAGAGCTGGAGAAATTTAACATGAGCCCATTCTGTGTTGGATGCCTTTTTCCCCCTCTGTTCTGGCTGATTGTCTCCTGAAGAATCAGAATAAGATCAAACATACAAAATGTCACTTTAATAGGTTTAGACTTAATTGAAAGTTGAATTTGTAACTTTACAATAAATTTTCAGAGCATTAAATTGTTAAAATTAGGATTTTTTTTTAAACAAAAGCATAGTATAAATGTGAATTTAATCCTTGAAAATAGTTTCCTTCCTGAGTTAAAATATGTCATCACACAGATTTCTCAGGGGAAAATAGTTCTATAAAATCTGAATAAAGGAAATGTGGCAGAATGATGAGGAGCTTCTTCACGTAATAAGGACTTAAGAAAGTGTCAAATCAATGGTGTCTACATAGCTGCACATACTAGGAATCCTAGAAAACCACAGATGTGATGAACATAACTGATCTTCCCCTTCTGCACTGACTACTTTGTATGGAAAGAGTTTCTTCCCCTTCCTAACCAAGCATGACTATTCCAAACTGGGTGTCCAATTGTACTCTAACAGGAAAAACACTGCTGTTGCAAATGTGTTATCCTGCAGGTTTTATTCCAGGAGTCAGGCTCATTTCTCACTGCTGAGTGGTTGCTAAGGGCAGCTGGTGGATACAGCTATATTCTGCTCATTGCCTGCACCTATGCACTGTTTTGAGGACTTTTAATAGGATGCCTCTCCTGGCATTTTTACACATTTTTCTGTTTGAATCGTTGTTTGAATGTAAATTGAGATAAGCTGGAGTGTAAAACAGAACCCAATGCTGAGGTGTCTGTGCATAACACAGGGTTTTCTTTACCATTTTTCTCCATAAGCTGCATTTTTGGATTATTTTCTTTTTTTAAAAAAGGCAAGAAAGAAAGAACGGGTAAATACTGCAATCAATGTAATGATATGCCGCTTCGTGTCCATGATAAATAATGGCAGAAATTTCAGCAAGGGATAAGAAAAGCATGAAAAAGGGGTCATAACCTCTTCAAAAGCCAGGCAGTCAGAAGCCTGGAGACATCTTCTCTACCTGTATTAGCAATTGTTTCAGTGGTGTGAGAGCAGGTGAGGAATAAGAGCGAGCTGGTGCTGAGGCTGTAATGTCCACACTCTATACATTTTGAGGGTTTCACTTAGACTAACTCTAAGTCTGATGCTATGGGCTGACGGCCCAGTACCAGCTGGGCAGCACTAGGTGCACTCCTACAGGGCACCTTCTGGTTCCGATTCATGCCAAAGGAATCCACATTAAGTTCTGAAACTGCTCCACAATGCAAAGCAAAGCAAAGCAAAATAGATTGATTCAACAGCGACAATTGCTTTGAAAGTGCTCTTCTGTGTCAGACCAAATCAGTAATGTAGATGTAGGGGACTGAAGCACCTCCCATATGAAGATAGGCTGAGAAATCTGGGGCTGTTCATCCTGGGAAAGAGAAAGCTGTGTGGAGACCTCATAGCAGCCTTCCAGTATCTGAAGGGAGCCTACAAAGATGCTGGAGAGGAACTTCTATTCAGGGACTGTAGTGAGAGGAGAAGGGATGAAAGATTCAAACTGAAACAGGGGAAGATCAGGTTAGACATAAGGAAGAAGTTCTTTCCTGTGAGAGTGGTGAGTAACTGGTGCAGGCTGCCCAGAGAAGCTGTGGCTGCCCCATCCCTGGCAGTGTTCAAGGCCAGGTTGGACAGGGTCTTGAGCAACCTGGTCTAGTGGAAGGTGTCTGTGCCCATGGCAGGGGGTTTGGAACTAGATGAGCTTTAAGGTCCTTTCCAACTCAAACTGTTCTGATTCTATGATCCTATGTAGTCAGTGCTGAAAAGAAAAAGAAAACCAACATGTGGTCACAGTCCTTGGGGACATGTTTTTTCAGGACATCTTTGCAATAGTTTCACTCAAGGGAAATCCTAAACCTGAAGAGTCAAATATACTTTCATGGAAAGGTTTGTCAGTGTCTTTTTTAC